AAGCTAACGCGGGGCTCGCCACTCGGGCTTTTATGCTTCCGGGTCGCTACGTCACCCCGCCCGTGACGTCTCGCCCATCCATTGGACGGATTAGACACGTGATTCAGAGCGCGGTCACGCGGGGGCGTTCCCATAGCGTTTCGTGACGCAGCGTCTCGTTCCCTCGGGGAACCATGGTTACATACGTAACCTGGAGACGCTTGTTACGCATGTTACCGAGAAACCACAAAGAAGTGTAAACTCCTCTGTCCTGAAGAAGTCGGAAAACTTAAAGTTACAGCTTTACCTCTGACTGTTACAAAGCGCTGACACTGGAGACTCCTTCCATAAATATTAAATAAATAAATTTTAGTTATGTAAAATTGTATAACTCATGATGGAACTATTTACATAAATATTTGAGGTTTCTTTATGTCTCTATCTGCTTGTAAAATTAATTTGAGCGCTGGCTGGGTATTAGTTTTTTAGAGGTTTAAAACGTTTTTTTTTCTGAAAACAGGAGATCTCAATCAATCAATGTAATAAGAAAATAAACCTTTGTCTGTATATAATCACGACACTCATTAAACTAAGAAACAATGTTTCTGTTAATGCAAGTTCACTCTTTGTTTAAACTTCCTGGTTTTTGTTATTTTGATTTGTCTACTGAGTTTCCATAGATGTCCAGTGTCTGTTGAAAGTCTGTAAAAAAAAAAGAAAATCATAGCAGAGTGCAATTAGTATTTCTGTAGAACAAAAACTGGCCGTCATATAAAATATTTTATTTTAAAAGCATTGTAAAACATTTAATTTAAACAGTTTTACGTCTGAGGAAGGCTGAGATTTTAATATAAGTTTAATGCTGATGCTGTAAAAGTGTGAATAATAAATGAATCCACTCATGTAGAAACTCTAAATAATACGTCAGTGAAGTCTTTTAGATAAAACTGATTTAACGCTGCAGGTCTTTTAGAAGCCTTCCGCATTTTGGAGAATGATTTCAGCATCATTAGGTCTCCACATCA